CCCTTTTTATTGAAATGTGTTGATTATACATATCTGTGGGGCACAGAGTCATATTTCAATAGACGTACACGATATGTGCTGATCAAGTCAGGGTAATTAGCATGTCTATCATTACAAAATGTAATCAGTTCTTTGTGATGAAGACATTCGCTCTCTTCTCTTCTAGCTGTGATAACATGCAGTAAATTGTTGTTAATTATACATGCCTAGCTCAACTGCACACCAACAGAACTTGTTTTGCCTGTCAAGACACAAACCCTTAAACTGATTAGCTAAATACTCTGGTGAATTCTGTTTCCGCGGTGCCTGGTTTTGGAAGGAGTGCTAGCAAAGATGAAAGTTATAGAAGGTACAAGGGCAAAAAGATAAACAATGAGCAACTGTTTTAGTGATAGCCTTTGAAGCCGAGTTGTTTAAAAAGCAAATCAATAGCTATTTATAGGAAATTCATTATGATCTTAATATTATGCATGGTAAGTCAACTATTGACATCACCAAGTGCAAAAGTCAATGAAAAATTATCATATTTCTAGGAAATGGACTTTTGTGGATGAGTCTGGACTCCATGATGTTAGAAGTTCTACTCAATTTTTTTTTCTAATCCAAGTTGAAAATATGAAGTGCCTTTCTGCAGTTGTTAATCACTTAGCTGGATGTTGGCAGGAAAGGAAATGAGCAATTTCAAGCCTCCCACGCGATAGGCCCTGCTCCTGGTCCAGATGGATTTGGCTGGAGGTTGCACCATTGTCTGTGGAAGGGCTTTAGTGGAAGAGCTCGGGCCTTTCCTGACTCATCAACCTAATGGCACAGCCTTCAACTTGAGATCTCACCTGAGGTTTAGAAAAGGGAAGCTACTGCCTGCGGATCCAATCCAAATTACAGTGGGATAGCTGAATATACAGCAATGTTTTAAGATTTGGAAATGAGACCCAAGATCCTGCTGAGATCTGCCTGGCACAGTAACATAGGGCGGGCACACAGTTTTCTGGTTGATTTAGAGAAGTACAAGTTTAATGACATTTAAATTTATTTTTAGTTTTATCACTTGGTAGAAACACCTCCGTTCTTCCTTCCTCTTCTCTTAGAGAAAAGAAAGAAGAAAAACGTCTCACTCACCGCTCGCCTTGCTGTGACGAACGCCTAAGAGCGCGTCAAAGGCGTGAAGCACCGTGCTCTGGGCTGCGCTCCCCCCGGAGTATTTCAGGGGCTCTGTGCAGACTCCCTCGTATATCAGCCCCACAGGCATTGCCGGGTTATCCTTCCATCTGAGCAAGAGTAAAGGAAAGAGGGAAGAAGGGGTGCAGGAGTTAACAGTGTATTTTCTGCTATGGAAACCGAGAGCCAGCAAGAAGGTGAACTCGGTCCTCACTTTCAGTGGTACCCTTAGGACAAGAGATCGGGTGTCTTTGCGGGATAAGTACTGAAGCATCTGGACCCGCCCCAGCTTCATAACAGGCCGTAAAATCACAGCCCTTCTCTTCCTCATTTAAAGGACTCTTCCAGAGAAGTAAACGCTCTTCAAGGAGGAATCTTTGGCCTTGGTCTCTTGACATAGTCATTGATAAAATTCAGTTATAAAGATGCCACCAGTGCTGGTCAACAGGAACGATCTAGGGCTCCGAGAAACCTTCCTCACTTCCTCGCTGACCTCAGCCTTGATGACCT